AGGGTATAAAAACACATTTCGTTGAGTAAATTACCTATTTTACAGTGCTGTGTTTTGTAAACGTGATCTTCATGCTTAATTTCGCAAACTGAGTTGACTCATTCCATTAGTATGTATGTGATGTCAGCTAGTTTCATGCATATTCCTAACGGAAAGTGAATTTCTCCAAAAGTACAAGATTGATTCATATGCAAATCTTCATTTTCTACACATTGTTATAGGTGAAAATATTTTCTTATTTATTTTGCAAATATGCATCTTCACGTCATATATCTTCGCATTACGTCATACAATCGCTATATGATGGCGCAACAATGCCAAAAAAAAAAAAAAAAACAAAAAAGAATTAAATATTTTATTGATTTATTTTATTATTTATTAGTAATTCGAGACATTTGAATTTGAATTTTTGAAAGCGTGTTAACAAAGACATCAACACAATGTTGTGGGAAGAACTTGTTCTTTCTAGTCTTCATTGAAGCGGAGAATCACGTAATTAGCTATTTAAATACATATCAGCGACGAAAATCTTTCTATTTGATTTTAATATTCTAATTAATTGTTAAGACTTTCTTAATAAAGGAAGGTAAATCGAATGCCTTAGACTAATCAATGAAATCCCACAACCGTCGATTCTAGATATCTAATTACCAAAAAAAAAAAAAAAAATACCAGGTTTGAAGTCAAACTCGAGTTAAAGTCAAGTGGAAGAATAATTAAAACTAAAACAGCTCTGTTAATATTAAGAAATGTATAACATAATCCATTCAATCATTTGATCAATCATTTACTATAGTACCTATAGGGTGAGATAAAAAAAAAAACTGCAACAAAGTCAGACGCCATAATTATTATTTTTTTTTTAATTTTATTGAATGAAAGCATAAAATGTTGGAAATAGTATCAAATTTTTGCATAATGTTAGATTTGTTCGAATTGGCCACCTTGGCACGAATTATAGCCTTCAAACGGCAAATGAAACCGTCACACGCTGCGGTATTTTGCCCTGCGGTTTTTTGGCCCATTCCCGTCGAAGTGCTTGCTTGAGGTGATCTACACTTTGGTATATTTTAGTACCAACCTTGCATTCCAAAATACTCCAGACACAATAGTCCAACGGATTGGTTTCCGGAGGCCATTGTGAGCTGGAAATGAAGCGAGAAACCTCATTTTGTAACCATTCTTGGGTGGCGCGTGCTGAGTCCACCAGAATATTTTCGCGATAATATTCGGCATTTATTCTGATGCCACGGTCGATTAATACGAGCGGAGAGCGACCATCGGATGTTATGGCGGCCCACACCATCACAATGACCGGCGCTTGAGTTCTGGTGGCCGAAGGCGCACATTTTCAGCTGACCTCTTTGCTGCTGGACAACGAATGTTTTCTCATCGGAGAAAACCAAATTCGGCAGTTTACCGCTTTCGGCAAAGTTAAGCAACTCTTTAGCTCTTTTGAGCCTATTTTTTTCTGTTGCGGTGTAAGTTCTTGCACTTTTTGGAATTTCCATGGCTTTACCCCGAGCTCATTTTTCAATATTTGCCGAATGGAATGTTACGATATGGTCAGCTCCCGAGCCATTTTTCGGCCGCTGCGACGCGGGTTTCGATCAAGTCGCTTCTCTACTTTTCGAATTTCTGCTGATGCTACCAGTATCACGGTAATGAGCGATGGTACGAGACACAAAAGATTTATTCCCATTTAATTGCTAGAGTGCTTTAACGATATCCACTTGTGGTTTCCCAGCCAAATATAAAGAAATCACACTATCACGCTTGAATTCCATCACGAGTAATTTTTTTCTGGAAAATTCTCACCAAAATACTTTTGTACGCTTGTAAACAATATAATGAGCTGTCACTGGAATAATTTTAACAGCAGTCGGACGGTGGGCTTGGAAGTGACAGCAGTCTGAAGTTGGTTGCACTTTTTCATCTCATCCTGTATGTATACAAGAGAGTAAAGAATGACCGACTGACTGCTTCATCAAAGCCCAGGCAGAACGGCTGAAGCTAGAATCTTGTGCGAGGGTCACTCTTTAATTTTGGAAATTCGTACTAAAATGGAAGAAAAAGTACTAAAGTGGTACCAAAATCTAACTAACTAACTGAGTACTAAAATCATCATATGTGATACCATTTGGTATTAATTAAAAATAGAGGATTTAAAATAAGATTTAAGTTGGGGAACTAGGGTTGATATGAGGTGGTGGTTTTGGAAAGTATAAGAACTGTATTAATTGATAGTAAATTTGGTTTTGGTGAACGGGTGTAGCTGGAATTTTGAAATTTTGATACTGGTTCAGTTAGAGAGAAGTATATGGAAAATCGAACTTATAGTAACTAAAAAATGTGTTTTTGAGCTGATTTGTGGTGTAATTTTGATGATAGAAACTTCATATTTAGCACGTGGGTTATTACTGATATGGTCCTGGAGAAGAAAGAAGAAATTCCAACAACTTATGTGTAGGATAGCATTGTTGCAGGTATTCGATGGAGTGCTGTCTTTGAGCTTGAATTCTGAAAGTTGATATTTAGCTTTGCCTAGCGAAGCACAATTTTTTTTCAAAACTCGATTTTAAAATACGTGTATCAAAAATGTACTAAAAGCGAGAAGTATATCTATAATTTCCAAATATTGTATGGGTTTTACTTCTAATGTGAAGAGGCGATAACTTATATACTGTTAAAGCTATAATTCCGAAATTTGGGATATAGTTTTGCCCAAAGGTGCTGACATGTTTTGCAAAATTCAATTTACAAAGTCGCCCTTTTTGAGTACCAGAAAGGGTCCAATTGAACTGAAATTCTTAAAATTGTCATAAAGGTGTAAAGGGCTGCTATTAGGAGGATTCTTTGGAAATTCAAACATATACGGCACGAAAAGTACGAAACTGGAACAAAAAGATGCACTGTCCTTACGCAACCGGTAGGGGCTAATACTTTGAAATTTTGTTCGATCATTACTCTTTGTGCGCTGGTTGATAAAAAAAAGGAACGACAAACTCAATATATCCATTATAGTACGGTGTAGGGTATACAAATATCATTAGAATAGTTTACGTGTGAGTTTCTGAGTACAGCCTACCTATTTCCTTCACATTCTTCAGACAGCAATTATTTTTCTTAAATATCATCCAAATATGGTCAAGTAATAAACTTAGAAATATTCTTCTTTTGAAGGCCAATAAAATGTGGTTTGTGGATAATGCGTAATCGCAAAGCACTTACCGCCCCAAAATTCTTTAGCTACGTTAAAATCATATTATTTATTTATAAACAAATTGAAAATATTCCAGTTTCGTATAACTCATTAAAATATTGATGCTTATGTTTCAAACACTTTCACTGATACAAATGCAATATATCAGTATTTCAAACGATATAAATATTAAATCATTTGTTTAGAATATGTGAAAATTCGTTTGCGCCCATTCGAAGATGTAGATTCTTATTGTTTATAGAATTCCATTTCACACATTATGGCAAACAAGCAAATCCTATATTTCTTTTTCATTCAACCAAAAGTTCAAAAACATTTCATACAACAACAAAGTGTAGCAACAACAAAAGCAAATCAGCACAAACGGCCATGAACTGGCCTGAATTTATTTTGAAAGGAAACAAGTGGTTGTACGAAGATGCCTTTGACTTGAGATAATCAGTCAAAATACAAGCAGATGTAAAATCATCATCATTAGGAATTTTTAAATATGTGTTTACAACAACACACGTTTCATTTAATTATTTATTTTTTTTTTTTTTTCATTTAAAATTTTTATTACAATTATCATTCAATAAATTCCAAAAAGATTTTCGACCCCACAGAAGATTTTTTTAGTGGCAAAAGTTATAAAGTTGTATGATAATAGATATAGTATTAGCAAAAGATTTGTAAATTCTGTTAAGTTTGCCAGTAAAAACAGGACAAAAGTAGGGCGTGGCTGAGACTATGACACCCTCACCTCACTATGCATATATAGTAAAGCTTCTCGAACAAATAAACATTTATATTGAGAATTTGTGGTTAGTTGATAATACGAACCATGATCGTTTTTGAACGCGTATTATGGTTTTAGAGCAGTTATAATTTGGAAACAGAGGAAACTAATATATAAGAGGTATATCCTACCCTGAATCGATTTGACGGAAGAATTTTTCACTTGTATGCGTCGTCCATAGAATATCATCAAATATCAAATGTTAACCTTTTGTAGGAGAGGTACCAGAAGGAATGAACCGATAAATACCATATTACCATCAGATCTCTGCTTCAGAGAAATATTTGGATATACCGAATTTGAAAAGAGTCGCTGACTTGTTTTGCAAGTTATAAGAGATTGAGTATGAGAGTATTGAAAATTGTGCCCTTTTGTGTGGTGGTTACCAGATGGGGTTGGCGGACATCTATAATCTTCACACCACCTATCGTGTTAGCTAAAATATTAGGATGTGTGAAATTTGGAGAAAATCGGATCCTCATTTCGCATTTTATGAGCGCTTCTTCTATTCACGGTGTTGACATGTACCTGAAGGATTGGACCGATACATCCCATCTTCACACCAGATCTCTTGTTAGTAAGACTATTGGTATGCATGATATATGAAGAGAATCAGATTCTTATTCCAAATCTCATACCTCGATCTAAGTTTGACACATATGGCCGTATCAAACAATATATACCCTATGTAGCCATGGGCTGAGAGTATAGAAATGGAATTGTGTCGCACAGTGTAATTAAGGTACATGTAGCTGTACTAATCCCTATAATTTTCTGAGCAATACTTATCTAAATTAATATAAATAACCCATTCTTATCTACATAAAATAACCCATAATACCAAGAGATCACAGTGTGAGCTTGAAACATACCAGAACATAAAATATGCCCAAAATTTAATCTATGATTCGAAATTATAATTATTTTCTAAATAAAACATTTACCTAAATATTTCTTGTAAATATTTAACATCTTTTCTTTATCAATTTTTATTTTCAGATTTCTGGAATTGTTCTAATCGTTTTCGGAGTCTCCTTATTGCAATCGGCCAATATTGTACAACTGTACATTATTATTGCAATGGGTGCCATTAATTTGATTGCTGCCATTTTGGGCTGCTGTGGTATTTGCCACGAACACGTCTGCATGACAGCCACGGTAAAAAAATAAAAAATCCAAATTCAAAATATTTTAAAATATTTTAAATTCATTTCTTACAGTATTCCCTCTTCATTCTCTCCTCATTGGTTGGACAAATCTACAATAAAATTAAGCCAGCTTCCACGGATGAAATCAAGAAGATCATTCGCAGCACCATAAAAGCAGTATGGGATGAGGAACTTAAGACTCCTGGTGCCATGGACTCTACACAAAAATCGGTAAATTCTTATTACAATTCCTATTCAAAATCCATGTCAAATAACGGGCTGTTTTATTCTCTTTTCAGCTCAAGTGCTGTGGTCTCGATGGCCCTACCGATTATCAAAGAAATGGTCGTTTTGTTTTGCCAGCCAGTTGTTATCCCGATGATGTCTCCACTGCTGGTCATGCCTTCTTCAACGTCGGCTGTGTTACGGCCAGTGAAAATAAAGTATTTAGTTTGGCCAAGTACCAAACATCCAGTGAATGGGGTGTTATTGCCGTTACCGTAAGTATTTGGCGATACATCAAATGACGAGAGTTGAGAGTAATGTTTTTTATGGGTTTTTGTCATTTCAGGCCGTGTTGTTTATCTTTTCGATTTACTTGGTATTCCGTTTCAACAGCAGAAACAAACGTTATCGTTACTAAAATGGCCATTATTTTTCGTGCATACTTCTAATGCTCGGCTATTTGTATTTTTTTAATTTTAATTTTTTTTTTGTTAACTCTGCTCAATAAATTTTCTAACTTTTGTATTGATTTATTTAGTTTAGTTTAAAGTCGTTATCATGGTACAATATTTACAAGGTAGGCCATAAAAAATAACCTGAATAAGATTTTTGCTAGTGGTATCCTTAGAATGCACTTTTCACAAAAAAAAAAAAACGAGTGTAAAGTTTCGAAAATAAATAGTGAGCCCTATCCAAAATTCTATTTCTATCGATCGCTCGAACTCAAATAAGAATATTTTGTAACTCTACGAATATTTCGTGCACTTTAAATACTAGTTTCAAAAAATATAGTCTTGTCTTAGCCCGAGTTAAAAATTGTAATGTTTAGCTCTAATTGATCGTTGTCTAATAATGTTGTACAGTTCTCTACCTTTTAATAATGTTTGCAACCTTTAAGTAAGGTCCTTAAAAACAATTTTGTACCTCTTAGTACTTTTCCTAATCTTACAGTAGAAATAAACAAGTTAAAAAGCAGTAAATTCGGCCGGGCCGAACTTTGAATACCATCCACCATTTGGAAGGAATTTGGAAATTTTCAAAAAATAAAGTACTTAAAAAATTCTGTTAAAATTTTAAAAATACCGAATATAGCCGTTATATTGGGGTCTATACACGTTTACTACATAGGCCTTATTTGTCATAATCCATTACCATATTTAAATTCAAAACTTAAAAAAAAGGTTAATAATGTAGCTAAAATCATTAAAATATCGTATATAGGGAGGTACCGTTATATCGGAGCTGTGCGAAGACCTGGACCAGCATACCGAATTTTGGGAGGTTCCGTTATATGGGGGCTATACGAAGACGTGGACCTGCACATACAATTTTCTGTCATAGGCTGTAGTATCCATTACGAATCTCAAATACCAAATTTGAAACAATTCCGCTGAATAATGTCGCTAATATCATCAAAATACCAAATATCGGATGTACTTATACATGGGGGCTATATGAAAACGTGGACCTACATGGTCCATTTACGAACTTAACTTGCCTACTGGAAAAATAAACACGTCATTTTGTGTAATTGTTTGTCATAGGCTGCAATTTTTTTGTTATAGGTTGTAATTTTTTGTCATAGGTTGTAGTACCCATTAAGATTTTCAAATACGAAATATGAAACAAGTGGCGAATAATGCCTCTAATATCATACGGAATATGGGATAAAGAGAGATACCGTTATATGTGGACTATACAAAGATGTTAACCTGCATAGAGTAAGTAGAGTAAGTTCGGCCGGACCTATCTTTCGATACACCACACCATTATAAATACAGAGTGAAAATGAGGACCTATATCAAATTTTTGTAAGGTCGTTAGACATCCATTAGAAACTTAAAATACAAAATTTCAGACTATATATGAGTTGTTTATCGATATTTTGAAGTTTGTGGGAGAGATATTAGCGAAGAGAGATGGGAAGAGATGTTAGACGAAATATCCTGAAGTCAAACGGGCTGATGCGATACCCACAACGTAACGTATTTACATTTATACGTACGCCTTAAGGTATGCTTTATAAATTTTAAAAAAAATATTTTTTTGTTAATAAACATTCCCAATTCAATTTCATTTACGGTCTGTTAATGTCGAAATAAAAAAAACAAGTAAGCAAAGGCTAAAGTCGTGCGGCCGACCATGTGATACCCTACAACACTACCATATGTTCGAAGCCCCCTTATATCCAAATCCATTTTGGAAGATTTCGTTTTTGAAATAATGTCAAAGAGCCCCGCCCAGAGGTTACCTTTGTTTTTTGACCCGAGAATTTAACCAATATTTACACACTCCGTACAATTTCACGCGAAAGTTGTGGTCCATTTTGCAGTCATCCAAAATTCTAGACTTCTTCCCTGTCTTTAACTCTCTTCCGATGCGAAATTCCGTGTCGATTAGTTTTCAATTGTGGCCTATAGAGCGACTACAAAATTAGAAAAAATTAAATTTTTTTAGTCCATTTGCACCTCAAAATGTAGATTTTAAGAACAATATGCTTTGATTCTGACCCTAACCGTACCCCCATGCAAAATTTGGTGAGGATCGGACGATAATTGCGATATGCATATAATACCCTCAAAACGTAGTGTTGGGGGGTGTAAAAATTTAGAAAATTTACAATTCAAAATTGTAGTAAAATTGAAAAAATCGCATGCGATAAAAATATGACAAAATTGAAAAAAAAATCGACAAATGATATTCACTTTTTATTGGTATATTTTCCTGCGATTTTCTTAGATATTATCGTTTTCTGGCAAGAGACCATTCCGAATTGATGGGAATTGTGAAAATCGGCCCAGCGGTTCTTGATTTATAAGCAGAATAAATAAGATCAATTCTTTTGCATATATGTTGTACCTATTTTGCTATATATCCGATTTCTTGGCTATTAGCATCACTGTAATGGTCAGAAGTGATCTTTTAATGTATTTGTGATTTGACTGTTGTTGAAAATATTCGCGGTTTAGTGGAAATTTCCAATTTTCTTATATAAAAGTTAGGGTCTATTTTACCCGCTAATTATTGTCCGATGGCCGGTTTCTGCCCACTCCTAAACTGTAACTCCATGTAAATTTTCGCGTCGATTGCTTCATAATTGTGGCCTATAGAGCAACTGCAAAATCAGGAAATTTTTCTGTTTTTGGTCCATTTCAACCCCTAAATGTTGTGCATCCATCTCCAAAAACAATAAGGTTCTATTCTGACCATAACCCCACCTCCATTTTCAATTTCGTGAGGATCGGTTCATAATTGCGACCTGTAGCTTGATTACAAATTAACATGGACAGACGGACGGACGGACACACATAGCTAGATCGACTCAGCTTGGAGAGATAGGAAGATCCATATATACTTTCCTATGTGGGAAATCAATATTTCGTGGTGTTACATAATTTTTGGCCCAATCAAACTTATAATACCCCCAACACATAGTGTTGTAGGGTATAACAATAAAATTAAGACGCCCGTTCCAATGTATGTTAGAAATTTGATATGTTTTTGTTAATTTCGATGATTTTAATGTGTAAAACCACCACCACCTTCCTTTTCTTAAGATCTAAGCCTTTTTTAAATAGTATTAACCTATTCTCTAAGATATGGGAAAAAAATGAATCAACACACTGATATAGGTTAATTTGTCAAATATTTGCTATATTTAGAGCATTACAATTTAAAATGAACAAATGGTCAAAAGGAACGACTCAGCTCATCGAAATATCGTCGGTATTATGTTTACCAAAATGTAATGAATATTGAGAGCTTTTTGAAGGAGAAGGTGGTGCCCATTATGAACTGTAAATACCAAGTTTGAGATAATTCTGTTGATTAAAGTGGCTAATATCAGAAAATAATGAATATTGGGAGCTTTACGAAAGTGTAAACCTGAAAAGGAAATATTCTAACATAAGGGGTTAGTAACCATATCTAAATGCCAAATTTTGAAAATTCCGGTAAAAAATGTTACGCAAAACATAACAATACCGAATATCCAAAGGTATAGTTATATGGGTATTCAATACCAAAATTCCTGCAGACCTAAAACACAACTGAGCAACATTTTATCAACATACTTCATTTCGTTCGTAAGCTAGAGTAATTTCCACAGACAGACAGATGGACAAACATCGCTAAATTTTGCTTTAATTTTCCAAATCCTAATATTTGCTTCAGTTCTAGGACTCGTGCCAAAATAAATAGTATTGGCCCACTCCATCAAGTGCCTCTCCCAAAAAGGGTCAACATTTTGAATAATAAAAACTCTTAAAAAATATGATGTAAGAGTCCGATTGTCTTAAAATTTCACACATCCTACTATTTGTATGAACCCAAGATCTGGTAGTAAGACGGAATATATCGGTCCACTCCTTCTGGTACCTCCCCACAAACGCTCAAAATTTTCAGACATGGTACATCTAAATATTTCCATCAACAGCAGATCTGTTATAAAGGTGGTAGAGATCGAAGCATTTCTTTTACTACCTGCCCCACATAGGATTTTGCTCAAAGAGAGCGAAATAATCATCCAACACTCTTCTAAATTCACACATACAAATATTTTTGCTAACACAAGATCTGTTGCGAAGATCCTTTATATCTGCGAACCCTTTCTGGTACCTCACCCACAAAGGGGCAAAATGTTCAATACTTTTATCTGTCATAAATTTCGAAACGACTCAGCGATTCTTTACAACTTGCTATATCCTAATATATATCTTTCATCCAAAATCCTGAGATGAATATGGAATTTATTTCTTTCCAAACCCATTCCATAGAGGGTCAAGAGTTTGAAAATTCATAACAGAAGTCAAAATATTTTAAAATGATCGAACATTGGCTGAGGCTGAGGACCGATACTTTTTTACTTGTTTTATTTTTCCTTCATGAGCATAAACAAACAAATCGATAGGTCTACTCTTACAGCTGACCATGAGAAAAACATGATCCCATTCCCATCTCTGAGTTTTCTGTAAATTTCCTTGTCAAATTTCACTGCAAAGAAAACAGGTTCCCATCTCTTACCTTCTTAATTCTACCATGGCAGGATCATACCAAATTTACTCCTCATACATGAAGAGTTTGTCAAAATTTCATTGGAATCTGTCATAATTATACCCTACACCACAAGGTGGTCAGGGTATTATGTCTTTGTGCATTTGTTTGTAACAGGCAAAAGGAAACGAGATAGACCCATAGTTCCTTTGATGATCTGCATAGAATCACTTTCTGAGTTGATTTATGCATGTCAGTCCGTCTGTCCATGAATTCTTGTGAACAAAATGCAGGTCGCATTTATTATCCGATTGAGATGAAATTTTGCAAACAACATTTGTTTGGCCCAAGGACGAACCCTATTGAAATTGGAGATAATCCGTAAAAATTTAGATATAGCTCCCATATATATCTTCGTCCGATTTGCCTTTTATTGTGCACCAAACGTGTAATATCAGCCCGAATAGTATGGAATTTTGCACATACAACCAAACTAGGCCTGAAAATAAGTATGCCAAATTTTATCGAAATCGGTTCAGAT